TGTTTGTGTGTGTGTGTGTGTGTGTATATATATGTATGTATGTGTGTGTATATATGTGTATATATATGTATATGTGTATATATGCATATATGTAAATGTGCGTATGAAAATCCTTTTAATTAACTTTTAATGAACTTTAGTTCACCATTAAATCTCTGATGAACCAGATTCTACAAAAACATCTATATTTAAATTTTTATAGGTTTTCTTCATAATTTGATGTATTTGCACTTATTCCGGAACCCCAGAGAAAATGATACTGAAAAAGGGGACCTGTTCTACAAACCTATACCAGTGTAAAAGCCTTGGAACTGTGCCAAGTCGAGTCAAACCGTGCTGTATCATTACTAATGGAAAGGGGCCATAATCATCAAGTACAACTATCAAATGTTTTAGGCCAGATGGCCAACTTGCTACTCACAGCAACCATTTTTGTTGGATGATTAAGCTTAAAAGCCTTTTCTGAACTACTTTGGCCTTGGTTGTCCTCAGGCTGTTTCTGTGAGTAGCAAGTTGGCCAACTGGCCTAAAACATTTGATTGTTGTACATGATGATTTATTGTTTTGGATGGGTGTGTTATGCATGTGATAAAATCTACTTCTGAGATTTCAGCAGGAGGTTGGCTTGAAACACAGCAGTGAAGGTTACTTTTGGGACAGATCTCATTGGCAGGCTTTAAACTAAGGAAGTCCTCTGGATGGGGAACGGAATGTTTCTCACTTAAAGAAACTGGTGCCGATGACATATGATTTATTCTCCTACTCCTACTTCGCCTTCTCTTACTCTGCTCCTGTTTCCTAGAATATTTAGCAAAAAGGTCCGAAGCTCTCGATCTTGACCTCTCTCTTCAAACATCTACTAAGTTCATGGCAAAAACTAATGCAGACATGTTTCTGTTTTTAGTGTTTTACATTGCTTTATAATGTAGCTGTTTTTGTTTCGTTCTCTAATATAATTTTCTATTTATTTTTTCAATTTTATGCTTTCTTTTATTCTTGTCTACTGTTGTCATCATTATTTGTTTAAAGTGTTTCTCTCTTGTAAATGAGTCCCTGAGACTCAGTGAGACTAACCTGTATAAATAAAGGTTGAATGAATGATTTAATCTTTTTCCAGAGCCCTCCTCAGCCCAACTCAAGCTGCAGTTGGGCCACCTTGTCGGATTTGCTTGCTCATCTGATTTGTGACACTTTATGGTATGACATTTTTCTGCACCGTTCATATTATTGTCAACTTTTTCAGGTCTCTGATTATCTGGAGTCGCTGAAACTTGTTAATACATCTGGATCTGCCCATCACTGCAACTTTCACTGTTTTTGGGTTCTGAATGATTGCGTCTTCATTAATATTTCTCATGGTTAAATTATGAGGACTAAGTGTCACAATGTTAACTCCTGTAATTACACATCAGTCACGAAAAACTCAAGAAAATGTCTGATAATAATGTTGTTACTGCTCTCAGGGATTCAGCCCAACCTTGGACCCCTCACTAATTACAGCACACCAAATGATTTTAAAAACATGTCAGGCCTTCATTTTCTGCATGTAAACACACGTAGCCTTCTGAGAAAACTTGATGCCTTGAAAATTCTGGTCAGTTTTTCTGGGGCAGATGTAATCTTCATCTCTGAAACCTGGCTCAACAAATCTGTACTGAATAATGACTTGGCAATCATTGGATTTAACATCTATCACTGTGATTATCAAAAAAGTGGGGGGTGGAGTTGCTATTTACATCAGAGATTCTCTGGTTTGTAGTCTTGTGTCTGCTAAAACAATTCCAAACCAGTCTGAGGCCTTAGCTGTAAACATCACTTTGAATGGAGGCCAGATCTTATATGTAGTGGGTTGTTATCGTCCCCCCTCAGCAACACCTGAGGCTCTGTCCTCCCTGATTGAATTCCTTGGAAATTTAATATTCAAAGAGATTTTTTT